TTTTATATAAAAACTTTTTTTGATTTTTTTTTTATATGTTAATAGTAATATAAATGATTTTACGAATATAATCACATTAATAAATAATTTTATTATGTGTGTGATTATATAGCAAAACCCTTACTATAAGCACATCTCACTATAATCATACCATTTAGTGGTCCCGAGCGGTATGATTATAAAGGGGGATGACTGTATACGATCGAAAATAGTTATCAATATTGATAATTATATAACAAATTCAGGAAATTATTATCGATTTCAAAAGTAGTGTGAGAAACTATCAAAGCATAAAGAACCATTATCTGAAGAGCTGTTATTTCTTGAATTTGATAACGAATAAAGGGGACAGAAAAATTATTTTGACCGAGGGTTTAATACAGTAGTTTACCATATCATTATCAGTTTTATTAGTTTTAATATAGCGTTACAAAACAGAATGCAACATATAGATTCACCTTGAGCATATGATTCTCTTAATAGGTTACAATATGAAGAACTTTTCGATGTCAATCCCCAAATGCAAGAAGTCATTGATAAAAAATTATATGTTTATATTACCGATATTTTTAATTTATTATCCAAAGAAAAATATCCTCTATTAATACTATCGATTTTCTTACAATATCTATAGAAATTAACATTATCAACATGAAAGAGTGTCCTAGCTGTCATCAACGAAATATTAAAATTGAAAAAAAAACATGCCCAATATGTCAAACGCGATTGTCAACATTAACTGATATGCAAAAAGAAAAAGTAGGCAAAGTTGAGCATAGCATAATCAAAATCCATTTGTTTTTAAACCTTTTAACATTAATGATGAATCAAGTGTTACATGTATTCCTAGGATCAGTGTTACTCAACAAAGAGTTACTGATCAAAGAGTTAACATTCCTGAAATTTATGTTCCTAATCTGATCAATATTAACCCTAATTCTATTACAAATATTGAAAAGGTTCTTTTACACATAGAGACAATAACAGGTATTAGGGATGGCACTCGTAAGTGAATAGCAGTAGTCTGTGATAGTGTTCCATACCATCATGCTATAAAATTGAGTTAAACTGGTAGGTAATTACAATTCAGAAAATTTATTATTTCATAATGCATAAAGAATTTTGTTCAACGCTTTTATATCGTTTCAATGCATTTATTCACTTAATAACTTAACTTTATATATTAGGAAAATTGATATAAAATGATTTGCAGTATGCCAAGGTTATCGAATGGATAATTAGCTTTCCTACTTTAAAAAATGTGCAGACCATCATAAGTCTTGGGATTCTATCTGTAATATATATTGTCAGACTATTTCTATGGAACTTGTATGGCTGTATGTAAAAAATCATTCAGACTTATCGGTCGAAGAATATCTTGCTTGGGTCAAAAAACGGCAAGATTCGCTTTATCAGATAAAATATGAACAAGTCACTACTAATTTTTATTCTTTTTATAGATATTAATATTAATTTTTATTATTTTTATTTTAATAGACATTCGTTTATCTTTAAGTAATAATCAATTATTAAAAAGTTATAAGAACTAACGATCCTTTATTAAAGAGTGCTGCTAGAAGAGTGTTTTTTCCTATTTGGTTTGCAAGACGGCACCCTATCTACTGTTTAATAGAAGTTACTGATAAAGTTTAATTGATGTGACTTCGTTTAGAAGTACGTGACATTATAGAGAATAACTGCATTGTTTCTAGTTTAGATATTTACGAATAGCATCAAGAATTAGATGCAATTATTAAGGAGATAAACAAAACTTTAAAAACTTTAATATCTTCTGTCCCGCAACTCCATTATTGAAAAATCACCGCACGTAATTGTAAAAAGTTTCTAAAGGTAAACTTTTATTTTAATTAAATTAATTAGTAATATACACATTTAATAAACTTTAATTTATAATAAATTTTAGCTTAGAAATAACTTACTTAAAGTAATTAGATATAATAATTATCAAACCTTCGGACTAAGAACTCAGCCAGAATCAACTATAGAATGCTAGAGATTTCAAATTTATCTGTGAAGCCTTGAATTCGTAAATCAGAGCCTAGAAGAATACGAATTGAATGAAAATTTAAAAAATTTCACATACTTAACAAAGCAAGCTTGACAAAGTTTTATTACCAAATTATTTATTAACAAAAATAATCCTCCTTTATTTAGGCCAATACCAATTTTAAAATAAGAAGCAAAGGCTCAAGTAAGTGAAAAAAATATGATCAAACCTGAAATTTTGTTAAAGATAGAAACTCTTCTTGAATAGTTTAGAGAAAATGCTTGAAAAAAATACTCTAGATTAAAGTCAAAAAAGCAAAATGAATTGATATATATATTATAAGAGATAAAGCATGCATTCAATTCGGATAATTTGGAGTAAATTGTTTTTTTATTTAGGCATTTCCCATCCAACATCAATTTCTTTAACAAAATTGGCCAAACTATCAAGTAAAATGAATATCGGAAAATATACTATAACCTCTTTTTATTTTATTTTTTAGCCATGTTTATTGTAAAATAAAAATAAAATAAAAAAAATTATTGCTTTTTAAAAATTTTAATTTGATTACATAATCAATTAGAGTAAGTCTAGAATATTCTGATCGGTAAATTTGTTACCATAATAGGCAATGATCGTCTGGATATATTTGGTATATTCCCTGACTGCATTATATATGTATTTTCTGATACACACACGCAACATAAATTCAAGCCTAATTGACAACTTTATTAAATTCCCTTAAAAAACAAACTACAAAGTACAAAGGGATTTGTATATGAAACCTAATTAAAATTAATAATGAACAAAATACAAAGTACAAAGAGATTTGTATATAGGAAATCTAATTAAAATTAATAAAAATTAAAAGTTCAATAAAATGAACGCAACTAATGATAAATAAAATGTTTGATGTGGATTATTATTTAAGTCATTCGAAATATTAGTTGAATGGGTAATCTGGATCATAACCTAATTTACATATTTTCAGAACATTATGAGGACATATATAATCATTAAAAGAATCAGCGAAATTATCTTGGCAATTCCTCCAGATAAAATATGCTTGTGTTGCACCTGGATGATACGGTCCATTGCAATCCACTTCACAGTTAGTAACACTGGTTACTCCAGGGCATTGGGTGACGATAAAAGTTTGTGCTTTTTTTAATTCCTCCGGATCTTTAGCAGCTGCGACTGCCACGGTATCATCAGATTTGGTGCACATGAGCAGATTACAACCCGCGTTAGCACCCCAGATGATAGAAATTATGAGTATTCCAACCAGCAAAGTCTTTCTTCCAAATTGTAGATTTCTGATATTTATACGCATATTGAGCTAAAATAATAGAAACTGATTTTAATAAGAGAAATAACATGAAATTAATGGTAATTCAGATGTTAAAGATGATAGGATATATACCTTGTAAATACGTGCAGTTTGAAGTGAAAAAAAAAAGATGATTAAAAGTAGAATGCTTAAATACAATTTCCTTTCTACTGAGAAAATAACCGAGCACTAAATGACTTGTATGCATATCTAAATTTTTCATTAAAGTTGTGTGTATTAGGTAATAATAACTAATACTTTAGACCTTTAACGGGAAGCTCTTTATGTTAGAATAATGAATGCTCTTAAATTATCCAAATTCGATATCCCTTATTTGCTATTACACGGGACAATTTTCGCTGCAGTCAGTGTTAATTTTGATGCATCAAATCTGTAAAATTTTACCTTACGGCAAACATGCGTATACACCCAATTTGATTTTGTTAAATTTTTTATTATTTAGGAACGGGACTTTTTGACGACTCTCTGTGTAAAATATTTCCATCAAAATTAGTCGCATCCCTTGTTCGCGCGCATAATGTATGTTTCTAAATTATGGATAGTGTGACGTCATCAGTAGATTGTATAACACCTATCGGATTGATCGCAATCTAATGGATATCATAAAATAAAAAGATTTTTTATATTAAAAGAGAAATTAAAAATAATAGAATATTTATTAATTTATAAGCAAACACTACTTCATTAACAAAAAAGCGTAGATATATTTGTCCTCTTATTAATGAATAAAAAAGATCAAACACGTCTGCCTTTTCCTACCACAAAACTCGATTGCTAAGTGGGATTCAAAGTTTAAACTATTTATAATTTATTAAAAAAATTATTGTCTTAAATGTGATGACGCTCTGATGAATCGTCGTGCAGAATTTTCCTTTAATACAAATTCTGATTCAATTTATAATGTTATTATTGTTCATTGATAAGTTCTCTCTTTTAAACGCATAAATTATTAAATTATTAATATTTATTTGTATTCTCAAAATTTTATAAAAGTTTTATAAAATTTAAAGACTTATTAGTTGGAACCAAATTATAACATCAGGTAAAAAAAAAACTAAACGAAGGATTGTTAAAGAACCAGTTATTGAGTAAAAAGTTTTTCAAAGTAAAATATGACTGACTCGATCATATATATAATCAAATCTATGTACCAATAAATATTTAAAAGACATCATTTAAAATTTTTGAATGTTCCATGTGGTGCCATTTGGAAACACCAACAGCCGGCGCAGCACTTGCTGGTCTACCCACATATTTTAGCTACAAAATATTTCAAAAATTAAAGATATAAAAAAATATGCATATACAACTTAAATAATAATTCAAGAACAGAATTTTGTTTTTTTTTTTTACCTTTCGTTCATTAGGTAATATTTGATTTAATCTTGGTTCGATAAATGTAAAAGCACCATTATTTTGTGGTTCTTCTTGACACCAAATGAATTCTACACAATTAGGAATTTTTCATTATTTTAATATAATTATCTTTAATTAAAACATCATATAATTTTTTTTTTTAAATACCATGTATATTATTATAATCGGTTAATTCTTTTTCAATATCTTTTTTTGGAAATGGGCATAATTCCTGCAGCAATTAATTGAATTAATATCAATTTAATCATCAAATAAATTAAATAATACTTGTTTCGGTATACCTCAACTCGAACGATCGCGACTTTATCTTCCAGTTTCTTTTTGTGTCGTTCCTTCACAAGATCATAATATAATTTTCCACAAACAAAAACGACCTTTTCAACCCTAGATATTAAAAAAATTACATACCATTAATTTAATAGAAATTAAAAAAGATTTTATTTAAAAACAAACCCAATCCGTCCCGATTATTTACTTTGACTTGTCTGAAATGGTATTATCTCCGAGAATTGGTAGAAATGTCGTGCCGAATATCATATCTTCAAAATTTGATACAGCATCCTAAAAAGATACAACAATTTCTTACAAATAAATTCCGTATGAAATAAAAATAAATCCAAAAATAAAAAGATAACTTGCAGGTGATCTCAATAATATTTTTGGTGTCATAACAATAAGAGGTTTTCTAAAATTTCTCTTCAACTATGATAAAATTTTTTAGTTAGGATACGACATAAATCATTACGTAATTCATAAAGAACTCCAACCTGTCTTCTTAAAGCATGAAAATATTGTGCGGGGGTAGTAGGATTTATTATATGCATATTTGGATTAATCGGTAAATTATCGTTTAATACATCAAATCTATCGTTCGAAAGCTATTAAAAAATATAATGTTTTGGGTTTAAAAATTTTTTATCGAATTTATTAATCAAGTTTACAAAGAAATCTTACCTGTAAAAAACGTTCGATCCTGCAGCTACTGTGCTCGGGTCCTGCTCCATCATAACCATGAGGTAATAGCATGACCAACCCGGATTGTCTTAACCATTTAACTTTTATTGGAAGAAGTAAAAAAAATTTTGATAATTGAAATTAAAAATCATTAAATTTAAAAACATGTATAAAGTACCTTCACCGCTTGTGATATAAGTGTCAATGATAATTTGGGCTCCGTTAAAGAAATCACCAAATTGTGCTTCCCATATATTGAGATTATTCGGACTTTCAATTGACATTCCATATTCAAATCCAATCACCGCTAATTCGCTTAAGTTACTATTCACTACCTATAATGATTAAACAACGATTTTATTCCTTTTTCTTTTTATAAAACAAAACAATTGGAATGTTACAAACCTCAAACATTCCTTGATCTTTCGATAGATTATTTAAAGGAATAACCACGCGTTCTGTTTCTTGACAAACCATCATCGCATGTCGTTGACTAAATGTACCACGACCCACATCCTGCCCGCATAACCTAACATTATGTCCCTCCAGTAGCAACGAACCTAGCGCAAGGGCCTTCGTGAAGTGTTGAAATTCAAGTTAATTTAAAAGATGTTTAGGTACATTTTTTTTTTGTTAAATAAATGAGCAGGAATTTAAAAACCTCTGCTGTTGCCCAATCAACTTTCTTGCCTTCAGCGATTCCCTTTAGTCTGGACTGTATATGAAATTTCTTTAAACGAGGATGTATTACCTATTATAGAACAAAAAAAAGATTTTATCAATATAAATATAAATAGTAAAATCTGGGATATTAAAATAAAAACTTACAATGTCATCCGGAACGGTTACTGAAATTTTCCCAACTTTCTCTAAAACATCTCTTGAAACTCCTATGAATAAACTAAATAAAGTTCATTTCTTATTTTCAGAGTAAAATTAATAATATAAATTTTTCAAACGTTACCTGTGTCAATTTTTGAAACCGTTTCAGTTGGCATGATCATCTTACTCCATTTCTTTTTCAGGGTATCTGCCTAAATTTATAAATAATTTAATTTAAATTTTGGATACATTCTAAAATCATATGAGAACATTAGTAATTAGTTGCCTCCGGTTTATAATCTTCAAATAATTTAAGCTCTTGTTCCAAAAATTTAAAATAATTATCTCTAAATTCATTAATTTCATTTGGAGTGATTATTAATTCCTCGTTCTATATGAATAATTATTTGGAAAAAAAAAAAAAAAATTTAAAGATAAAATAAAAACAGAATTTACGTGTAAATAATACATGATATATACCAATAACTTTTCTTCATAAAGTTTTGGAACGCTTTTCCTTGATCGAATATTAGCATACATCAAAGGTTGCGTGTAAGCAGGTTCGTCTAATTCGTTATGACCCCACCTACGATATGTAATTAAATCTATTATCACGTCCTAAATAAGTAAGGTAATTAATAAAACGTTTCATTGGTTTAATTGAAAAAATTTTAAAATTTTCTACCTTTCTAAATTTATTTCGATATTCAAAGGCAATTTCAACAGCACGCGCAACATCCTAATTAAAATTCTATTTTAATAAAATAATAGAAATGAAAAAATTTTATTATATAAATAATCTTACCTCAGGAAAATCACCATTAACGTGAATAACGGGAGCATTAATCATTTTTCCAATATCTGAACTATACCAACTGCTTCTCGCATTTTGTGCAGGCGTTGTATAACCCAATTGATTATTTACTACGATGTGAAATGAACCACCGGAAGAAAATCGTGGTAAATTTGATAATCCAAAACTTTCCATAACCACTCCTTGTCCCGTAAATGCCTACATAATTTTTTTTTTTTTATTTTATTTTTTATTTTTTTATTTTTATTTTTATAAAAAAAAATAAATAAATAAAATTATGGGAATTATATAATTTACTGCATCTCCATGTAATTGAATACACATCACACGATCTCCCAGTTCGCAATCTGTTTCGGATTTTAAGAGATCCATTTGTTTGGCACGAGCCTTTCCCATAGCAACAGGATTTACCGCCTGTACAATAAAACATGATTTTAATATTTTAGTATTTTTTTTTTTTATAAAGTAAGAATTAGTAACAATTAATACTTCTAGATGCGATGGATTATGCAACATAGAGACGCTTAGTGGTTTTTCTGTACCGTAATCCAATACAGGCGATGAGGCTAAAATTTTAAAATGAATTCGTCAAAAAATTTTTAATTTATAATTCTTTTGCAGAAAAACTCTTTCCTTGTTTTTTTTAAAAAAAAAAGTGAATTACCCAAATGAGATAAAACGTCTCCAGATGCCGGTAAATGTTCTGGAAATTCTGGATTTCCTTTTACTTTGTGAAATAATCTCACAGGCGAAAATTTTAATAAATCGGTTAAAAGGTTTAAACGACCTCTATGTGGCATACATAGAACAGCCATAATGATGCCAGCTAAAAAGAAACATTAAAAAGTTATTTGAAATTGACAGCAATTTACGAGAAAGTATACGCACGCTAATTCATACCTTTATTTGAGACCTCAAATAATTTATCCAAGGCTACCATCATTGATTCGGCCCCTTCAAGGCCGTATCGTTTAATTTGAGGAAATTTCTTCGCCATAAAGTGATCAAATACCTATAACAAAGGTCGAATCACGTCACTAACAAATATCTCGATGGTTTTTAGATATGTGAAAATAACGTGCCTCAGATCTTGTGAGTAGCTCGAAAATTCTTCGCTTCTCTTTTGCATTTAATGAAGTCTTGTCGTAAGATTCAAGAGTACGATAAAACCAACGTCTTTCATTCGTATACTAACGAAGAAAAGTTTTTAATGTATCGTCGAATTTTTCACGTGGTTGTTCCAAATGCATTTCTTTTTTTTGTTTACCGGAATATGCATGAACTCATAAGCTACTTTTCCACAGTAAACCTTTTTCAAATAAGAAACGATAGTTTCTATATTTGCATCAGCTTTGGAATCTTTTGTCAAACCTGATTTATTAATATGCAATATCCCTAAAATCAGAATAAAAAAATATATTAGAGATCGAATGTTGAACTTGATATGGAGGTCGTTCTGAAAGAATGTACATGTTACCGTTTAAATTATAAAGCTCTTTGGAATCCGTAAATCCATAAGTTTTAGAGTCAAGAGCTGCAACTTCTCTAATTAATCGATCACATCAAATTAAACTTCGACGGTGATAAATGATAACGATTAAACGTACTCACTCTAGTTGTAAAATACCCAAAGGATCAATATGAGCTCCTCTGTGCCCATGAGTTCTATACGCATATACAAGCCGAAGCAAATTCGCATTTTTGATACGATTCGACAATTCTGCGTCCGTGTCTATATATGTGCATAGGAATTTTGACTAGTGAGCGTGGCGCAGTCAATGAACGATAATGCTATTCCGATTTATGTAATCAAATCTCCAATCACTTTTTAAATTATTGTAGATCATTTTGACGTGATCATTTGACGTCGCTGGTTAAATTAAATTTACTAACAATTTTGCATAGCATATACCCTAGGAATCCTGTATCCAAAGGTTCCATCATCATGATAATTTCTAGAATTGGTTACAATCCACGGGCGAATCAAAAGTCGATTAATAATCTCATGTTTTCTTCCAATTCCAACTATTCCAAAATTGGTAGATCGAACAATATAATTAACTAAATTTGACATTGCAAAGAAAAGGTAAAAGATAAGAGTGGGGAACCTGTTTGAAATAAATGATTTGGTTGGCTTTATAACAATTATTCTTGATCACATGTTATCAAGGAGGATTTCGCACGGTCATGATTAAAGGTGTGACAATGCATCCTACTGTACCTTAATATCGGACATGTCCAAAACCGTTCAAAAGAAATGTTGGACGCAGATCATCGTACCTTATTTTAGACATCTTTTTTAACAAAAGGAGGATCAAAGGATAAGGACCAAAGATAACCTCATGATGACGATTTAAAAATTTTTTAAATTTGATATGGTAAATATCAAAAATAGAAAAACGATGTTTTTCAAATGATTCTATGTATCGGAAACCTTTTTAAAATTGATAAAATTCGTCAATCTTTTCCTCATTTTTGCGTCAATTCGAATTCAGCATTATATTTTAAATACCTCTCATTCTTTTTTCTCTTCAAAATTTGGTATATATTATTATATTATTAATTTTTTTTTTTTGACTCAAAAAATACTTGACTCAACGAAAATGTGGACCCCATTTAATATTATTATGATGTGGTTATTTAGGATATTTATGACGAGGGTTATTTGGAATATTGAAGCGATTCCCTTTGATCAAAATGATTTTCATTCGACGCAACTTAGATTTCAAATAAACGAAATTAACAATAAAGAATTTTCGGGGAAATTTTTGCACATTACTGGTAAAATAAAGTTTAATCATCACTTTGCCAGGATCTATTGATTCTTTCTGAATACATAAAATTCAAATTATCGTTTTTGCACTCTTCAGATCTCCATCTTGACCCTTATTATCTTACTAATAGCAAACCAAAAAAATATTGTCATCGTTATGCAAAAAAATCAAAGAACAATATATCAGGAAAATTCGGTACCCTAGGTTCGAATTGTGATTCACCCTACGCATTATTAGATTCAGCATTCTCTTTCCTTAAAGACAACTTACATGATGCAGATTTTGTAATTTATACTGGTGATTCTCTAAGGCATGATAGAGATTCAAAAATTCCTTTTTCGAAAGATGATGTCATCTCGGGCCATAAAACTGTTGTCCAATATGTTACAGAAACTTTTGACTTGAGTAAAACTAAATTTGTAAGTAAATCTCATAATAATGATGAAGTGACTCGAAAGATAAAATGATTTAGACTTTATTCACGATTTACCTCAATAGATCCCCACGTTAGGGAACAATGACGAATGGGGTAAGTTATCTGTAAACTACAGCAATTCCTTTTTGATTTATTCTAATTTCTCTTTGTGAATAACTAGAGCACAATCAGCTTGAAGGTGGACCAAACACACTTTTCGGCAACCTGACCCAAATATGGACGCCCCTAAATTTAAATCTAACCTCGGACTTTACAAATGGCGGGTATTTCAGACAAGACATAAATTCAAAACTCAGCGTATTTAGCTTAAATTCGATGTTTTTCTACGAATCTAATGACCAAATAAAGGATTGTGATAATAAAAAATCCCCGGGAGCAATTCAATTGGAATGGTTGAAAAATCAATTAAAGAATGCAAGGCGAGAAAAAAGAAGAGTTCTTATTGCACAGCATGTTCCTCCTTTGGATTCTGATGGTAAATGATATTTGATATTTTTTTTTTTTTTTTTTATTCTTTAGTGCGTATTTTGAGAGTGGATTCTTTTCCTTTTTAATTGTCTCATAGGTGAATCTTCATTTCTTCCGCAATGCGAAGATGAATTCGTACAATTGCTCGGGGAATTTTCTGATATTATATCCGGTCACTTCACTGGTTTGTAAACAAGAAATATCAAATTTGTTTGGTAAAATTGATTATTAATTTATTTATTTTCCAATACAGGTCATACAAATCTAGATACTTTGACCTTCTTAACGGAATCCGAAAATGTTAATGGCAAATACAGTTTATACTATCTTGATAAAGATGAAGGTCCTTCAAAGAAATCGTTCGACAATATTATCTTGGTATTGAATAATGCTCCTTCAATAGTTCCAGGCAAGTAAATTTAATTAATTAGATTCTTTCTTGTAAATGAAAGTTGTCCGCAACTTTGTAATGACTTTTTAATTATTTCATAGTTCACAACTCGGGAATTCGAGAGTACAGATATTCAACTTCTTCAGAAACGTTTGGCGCATTATCTGATTATATTCAATATTATCTTGACATCGAGAAGGCCAATGAGATAGGCAAATCGGAATGGGAGGTTGAATATATTGCAAGTGAAACGTATAATATGAAACAATTATCACCATCAGAATGGGCCAACGTTTTAAATGAAATGGAAAGTGAACATAGTGAATCATGGCAAAATTATTTAAAATTTATTACTGTGAGCAGTGAATGAAAAAAAATTCAAAGGAGTAGTATATATTATAGATTTATTTATAATTGTTTCGTATTCATTTTTCATTTTTTCATTTTTTTTTTACTTATTTATACCTTTTTATTAAGGGATATCTATATCCAAATGTTCTAAAGAGTTAATAATTTTAAATACATAATACAAGTCTATACATTTTACTCTACTCTTTCATGAAATACTCTATCATTGATACGTCTAAAATTACAATTAAATGTTAAATAAATGAACTACATACCATTGAGACCGAATTTGTTTTTCCGGTTGTTAATTAGCTAATTTTGAGCACATGACTGATCAGTCATGTGGACCAATAAAAAATTCTTTATCGGAATATTTTACATAATAAAAAATCTCATGGTTTATAAATGATTTGACGGAGAATCATCATATGCTCTCGTAATATAATCATTTTCTAAGATAGATAAGATAAAATTTAAATCATAATTTCAGAATATTTAATTTTTATTTCGAGAAAGTTACCTTTGATTGCTTCATCTTCAACTTGTTCACCATCACAAAAATAAATGGAATATTCTAATTTTTTTTTTTTTTTTAAAAAAAAAAAAAGGTTAGCGGGTTTTAAATTCAAGAAATTTCCACAGAAGAAGATACTTGATTCTTTATCAAGAGAATTTTTCACTTACCCGAAATATCAAGAACATCACCTGAATCCGGTAAATTCGAAAAATTCAATAATCTACTTGCAAATATGGCTTCGGGATGTGAAGTTTGACTGAAACCACTATCGATATTTCCGGTCGATAGATGTTCAGCAGCCAAATCACGATCTCGCTCATCACAGTATCTACTTTGAATCGTTTTTCTAATTTCTAAGATTTCTGGTCTTTTTGAAGGATCGGCATCCCAACACTTTATCATTAAACTAAAATACCATTTCGGCGCTCTTCTTTCCACTTTAGGTCTAACCCCTTTACAAATTTCAAGAGCTAAAAGTACATCGTGTGGAACGTTATGAAAAGGTGGTTTGTCGTGTAAAACTTCCCACATAATCATTCCAAAACCATAAATGTCCGAAGCTTCACTATAATCATGGGTCCGACGTAATATCTCCGGCGCTATATAGGACAAAACACCATAAACATCTCGTTCCTCAGATATGCTCTTCAATGTTCGGTTAACGGGACGGCATAATCCTAAATCGGCGACGAACGTTTTAATGGTTCCGTCACTTGAAGTTTCTTGGAGGATGTTTCCGCTATGAAAATCTCGATGTATTAATTTCATTGAATGAATAACTTCCAAACCCAAGGCAATTTCCTTAAGAATGAGCAATTTTTGTCCCCAAGATAATAGGGAATTATTTCTGCTCAGATAATGGCGGAGGTCTCCTCCATTCGCAAATTCCATAACCAACATGTAATTACTCGACACCTTGTCCCGAGTTACGCCATAACAGTGAAGTACTCTGCCGTTTCTGAATTTATAATGCGCTTGTAACTGGGTGATCGTGAAAGGTTGCAAATGAATCGATGTATAGATTGTAATATTAAATTAATTCATTTTTTTTTTAATTCACCTCATTTAGAAAGTCCTCTGTCCAATCTTTTGAATTATATAAGCTTTTCAACGCAACCGGAGTTCTTGCTATGAGAAGGAAAAGAAATAAATTACTCGAGATAACAATAGAAATTTCTGATTGATGACTTTAGAATCGCTCTCTTACCTTGTAAGTCCCATTTACCTTCAATATTAACCCATTTTCGATTAGGACCTTCCACCCAAATACCACAATAAATCTCACCAAATCCCCCTTTAGCCAAATACTTTACGTCTTCAATTTTATCGTAATCGATCCATACTAAATAATCTCTTTTATTCGTAGCCTTTCTTTGAGTGTCTCTAATAAATTCATCGATGATTGCGTTATTACTGGTCCAATTCATAAAACCTTCGTTAAAGCGTTTACTTTCACAATGATTGCACCAACGATCACTTGTACGAGGATTTGTACATTTTGGACACGATAAATCAACATCGATTTGTTCATCAAACAGGTATTGAATGGATGAATCAGGTGTTGGATAATTTGTGGAAAATTCAGGTGATTTAATTGATTTCATTATCTGCAAATGAAGCGGAAAAATTGCGTTAAAGATTCAAATTATGCCTAATATCGATTGTAATTTTTGAAAAGGAAGAAAGAAAAAATCATTATAAAAAAAAAATTCTTACCGTCTTTAAATATCGGAGTTACAACACCTCGTGTAATATGCATTGAACCTTATAAGGCGATTTACATGATACTCTACATTGGAGATCGGATCTTAAATGATGAGCAATTCCCTTTTTGAGAGATCGTTATTTTTTTGATTATTGTTGCTTGCTTAAATTATTTTATTTTTCAAAGGCTTCAAAGGTCGCAACCCAAGGTGGTTAAGAATGTAATTCGGACGAAAGTCGATGCAATCGGCCACATTTCACATGATTTTACCACAGCATTTTGGGCCAAGGCCAAATGACAAAACATCATGGGACAGTATATGAATGTCAATTATTAGATTGTTGCAAAACTTCGCCGCTTTGTATGACTATTAATACTAGTACAAATATATTATACGTAATGTTATTCCAAAAATAAAAAATAATGATTCTTGTCCTAAATTGTATTAACCAACTTTAGATTTTGAATTTAATTAATTTTAACGTTAGTTAATTTTTTGTATTAATAATCATTATCTGATTTGATTTCTAATCAAATTCTGATCTATATATACATGTATGTTGCGCCTAAGATTGACGCACCTCAGATTACAATCCGAGGTCAATTTTATATAGTAAATGCAATGATATTTGTTATTATTACAATCACTTTTACAATTACATAAGCCTCCTGATATTGACCTAACGCTTTGAAGCTGTGCAGCTTTTCATTGATATTTTATTAGAAAGAATATTTTGTTTCAAGTACAGTAGTTTTAATTCACCAGTAGAATAACAGACTTCAATTATTCCAAACTTTGATTCAACTTGAATATTTATCTTCAATTTTTTTATATTTCTACACAAAATGGTAAGACGAATAGTACTGAACCTATTAATTTTAGAAATAGCTACTCTTACAAAATCTCTAATCAAAACAATCTCAGTAGAGATCTGTTCAATTCTGATCATTCAGATTTTTGTTCAGATTTAAGTTGATAATTATTGACTGATGAAATAAAAAAACGTGATATCATTTTGATATTTTAAAATTTTAAGAAATATGTAATCTAGTGGAATACTACCATTTAATATAATTATATTAAATGGTGGTATTCCACTTACCCTAGATTATATTACCACTATATAATCTGAGTATCACCATATAATCTAATTACCATCATATAATCTAATTACCACCATATGATCTAATTACCACCATATAATCTGGGTACCATCATATAATCTAATTACCACCATATAATCTATTTATTTTCATGTATCGGATATCTTTTTTATGCTCTAGCTATCCTTTTAAATCTTACTTGCTATCTGTATTTTTTATCACCATATAATCTAACTACCATTCACTATTTAACTAACTACCAGCATATAATCTAAATACTATACTTTTCTTCTTGTTTCTGAGTCATTTATATGTTAAATTGTATGATAGAGTTGTTGGCCTTCTATAGCTATTTGGATACCTGGTTTTATAATGAAGGTATTTGCCTCTTATGCCTGATTAAATACTAGATTTTATATTGAGATGCTTATCCTTTGCGCTTATTTAGTTGCCTTTCTAGATCTCAAAATGTAATAAAAAAATATCATGTTGAGTGACGCAGTAATTCGATTTCAACCAGCACTATACCATAATTTTGGTCAGTCTTTAAGGCATGTGATTTTAAATTCTAGCTTAGCGTTATGGTAGTAACCTGGTAGCTACTATAGAACTGTCATAGAACTGGTAGTTTGTCAGCTTGGATGTCATCTTCTTATGTTTTAAAATCTGGTTGAAATTATGAAGCGAATTTTGATTATGTCTTACTGTACCATAATCACGTGATACTATTACACCCTCTGTCATATAATATAGCAAATTTAGTTAATTCTATTAGTTCATCAATTTGAAGATATAATATGTATTACCATAGCTGACCCATTTGATTGCCAGAAGTGCACCATTTTGTAACCCAACTATTACCTATTTGTTTTCAGTATATTGGCAGGATGTTGTAAGCACTTCTGAGACCTGATTATAATTAGGATATATCCTGATTTTTTGTCACCATAAAATCTCCTGTCATTATGAAAATTTGTTAGTGACGCTCTTAGTGACATCCTTATATGTTTTTTTCGAAGTTTAGGGATGCTAGATTATCTTTCCTTATATCTGTCACTATGTCACTAAGAATCACTAAGAAAAAGTAAAGTTATAGGAAAAAAATCGAAATTTTTTTATGCTATCCTTACAGCTTATATGCAATATAATATGATAAATATATAACATATGCATAATACATATATGCTAAAAAAAAAAATAAAGAAGTCTGATTTTCTTAATAATATAGTGACACTTATCTAGAAACCTTTCGATGACTCTAAAAATGCAAAATAGCTATAATTTTGTCACCAAAAGCGTCACTAAAAGTGTTACTAAAAAATTTCAGCGAACTGAATTCGTTTAAAAGATCATAGAAATAGTGATAACTTTTATTCTTGTTTAAGTTCTATCAATTAGCCTAAAATTACTTGAGCAGAATCTCTTTAGAACCATCAGTTTGTTTAACCAGCTTTTTCTGATGATAATGTTCCTTCGATCTATGTATTTTGCATACATATCACAATAATCATATTTGGATCTTGTTATCTCTTTACATTTGCTTTCTTTGTAAGCAACTTGCCTAGAATCCCAATGGACTTTATATCCCTTTAGATTATAGTATCTCCAATTACACACTTCACTAGTCCTAAGAATATATAGATAATAAAAATTCTAGAGTGTCAACTTTTTTCCGTCTTCCATTTGTATATATCGATTAATAATCTCAAATAATTAATTTTATTTTAAACTTTTTTCTTGCAAATAATATACTTTGAGATTTAGTATAACTATAAATCTTTTGAAAAAATGACTGAACATTCTGAATTTTTAGAGTTCCTTAACACGCCTACCCTTTTTCATCCAGAGGCCAAAAAAGATAAAATAATAGACCAGATAATCAGATATAGAGGTGGAAATTACTTGATAGGTATTCTAACTCATGATGAATTAGTTGTAAGAAATAATGAGAGATCGACTTCAACTCTCAATAACGAAATAGCAAACCATTAAGATATTTTATTCATACCAGCTGATGTAAAAGAAGCTAAAGAATACATTAATCAAATTTTTCATTATATTCTTCACCTCTATAAATATCTCATTAATAACCAGAAAGCAATTGTCACCATTACTAGCATCAAGGTATTTTTCAATATTTGTATTCTTGACAATACGAGCATTCCTAAATTCTAGTTCAAAATAAAAGACATACTTATCACTGGAAAAGACAAGAATAGAGGCATTGTAAATATGAGTCTATTCTGAAAAGAATGTATAAAAGTGTATCCTATCCATGATTATCATATAGAAAGAAAGCTGTATTTCCATATTATTACACCTAATAAAGACTAAAGGTTTACTGCTCTCAATATTATCTCAAGTTACAATTCTAAGGTTGATCCTGAATGTAAAATAGAGATAGCTTCATATAATACAGACATATATTATCGTAAAGTTGCAAGAGAATATAGAATATCACTTTTTAGGTAAGAGTCTATAAGCAACTATAAATATAATTATAGTACACCTTACTATGTGAGATCCTATCACTGCCCATATGCATTTTATGTTTGCATTTATAATTTTCATCTTATAAAGAATTTTAAACTACTTTACAAAATCTATCCATTTTTTTCTTTACTCACGATTAAGCATTAGTTCTAATATAAGACATAAAAACATATGATTCACATAGATTAGAGAACTTCCTAAAAGCAAAAAATGATACGTCTCAAGTTTTTATGATCTGCATAACCCTATACTAGAAAGACGATCTGATCCTTTAGAGAGAATATGTTTAGTCAATGTAGAAACAAAACTGGACTCACGCTGAATTATAATCATATATAAGAATTAGATCAATCTCTTAAAGGCATTTGCTTTATATTGGAAATCTTTTGCCTCAGACATTCAGCTCAGTTTTAACGATTTAGAATACGATTAGTCTTTTATTATAGAAAAGGCCACTAAATTAAATATTTTTAAGTGGATGATTCAGTAAATGTTAGTAAACCTGCATAAGAAAGCTGATGCTGAATCTATTCTCACTTAAAATTATTTTAGTAGAAGAAAAAAGCCACTAACTAATGGTTTCTTCTAAAGGAGCCAATGGGTAAAAAAAGTGAACAAAAGACCCAAAAAAGCATTAGACTAAGATTCTATTAATATCAAAATTAACCTAACTTTGAACTTTAAATCCTTCTTTCTTAAGCTCCCAAGATGTGTACTGATCAATGTTCGCCTAAGTTTTATGCAACTCCACCTCAGCTCTGAAAAACATCACTCAAATTCTTCTTAAAAAATGTAGTCTCAATATCAAAGTTTATATGCCTATAAGCAAATTATAAAAGTATTATTCAGAAGTTAAAAATAAAACTTCAGTTGCCTCTAGCAATCAAAACATGTAAGAAATCGTAAATTATTGTGTTATAGATGTTTTACATTATCAGAAGCTTATGGTCAAATGTAATATTATAAATAATTATAGAGAAATCGCTTTGATAGCATATATAACTTTATTCGACACATATTATTATGCCATAAGAAAGAAAATATGTAATCTCTTAGGTGTTGAAGTATAAGTATAGAATATTTTATTTATCATAAAAGCTTCTGAGCAAAAAAAATCTGGAAAATATCTAGGAGTATATGTTTTTTCTCCAGAGAAAGGTCTTGAGAATAAATATTCTATAACAGATTTGAACTTTGCTTCCTTGTATTCTAGCATAATTATGAACTACAACCTCTTACCAGCAAAGATAGTTTCAAGACTTTTGGAAGTAAATGCATTAAAAAGAGAAAATAAAGTACTCCATAATATTGAATTTCACTTTAATAGGCAAGATATACAAATATAGACTATACAGCACAAGAATAAATCTGATCAGAAAGGTCTGTTTTCAAAAATATTAGAAAATTTGCTTAATATGTAGAATAGAATAAAGGCATAACTAAAACTTCTCAGAAAGAAAAGGACTATATAAAAGAAATTAAAAATAGAATGAATTCGATTAGTATCAGCAGATCTTTCTCTGTAGCAAGCATAATTAAAGATGTTTTATTCTTGATAATAAATAAGAAAAAGTATGCTGAAATAGCTGATATCCTAAATTCTTTTATTGGTTTATCATATGATAGTTTCAGTAAAGAATATGATTTTGTCTGTTTTGATCATAATTCTTTGAATTTTAAGCAGAAAGTGATTAAATTGTTTATGAATTCATTTTATGGTGAGATAGACAATAGCAATTTTCCGTTCAAGTTTATAGAACTCACTAGAGCTGTTACTTTGGCTGTATGAAAAAATATCAAACTTATTACAGAATTCATGAAAAAGAAAGATTTTGGGATAAAATATGATGATACTGATTCTCTATATCTCACTTGCCCAGATTCTTGTTATGAAAAATGTGATTTAATCTATAATGACGGAAAAGGCATAATCTCAAAACTAGAGTACTGGACTGAAATGGTTAAGATTTTTATGTTTGTAATAGAGAAATTACACAATGAAATAAACACCTTTCTTAGACTAAAAACTAGATCAGATTATCTTAAAATGACTTACGAAGAAGTATTATTCCCAGTAGTGTTCACTGGGAAAAAAAAATATTTTAGCACTCTTATGAAGATACAGTAAACTTCAGTCTGAAAAATCTCTTCATTAGAGGAATTGATACTATGAAACAAGGCAAATCCTAGCTTTTTAAGATTATAGGTGAACAGATTATGAATGAAGTCAGGAATTTGAATAATGAGTGCTTCCTCCATAAAATTGTTGAAGACGTTCTTAGAGATGTCATAACCAATCTCAAGCAATAGAATTTTAAGCAATTTATAGAGACTGATGTATGAAAACCTGATGTAGACAACAAAGCTATTTAGCAGTTTAAGATTCTAGTACCAGACAAGCGTTTTAGTTATATAGTAATTCATCCCAAAAATACTTTTGATTTACATGGTATAAAATTAACGCTAACTAAGGATGAAAAATAGAATTTGCTAATATGGCGAAGGAATTGGAAAAGGAGCTAGATTTATATTATTATTTTGAAAAAACTATTGTTAGATTCTGTGCTCAATTTATCATGTATGATAAGAAATATGAGCCAGTATCCTTAAGTAGAATTATGCAAATTGAAGATCTAAACAAGAAATATAAGCAGTTTAATAATTATACTCAAAACAAGACCAAGTTATGGCTTGAAAGATTTGTAAAAGAGAATATTATAGTGAATAGTGTTACTTTTAAGATGATGATATCCTGTGAAAATGCTTATAAACATGCCTATAGAAATGCAGTCAAAGAAGCACAAGAAATGTTATATCAAAAGATAGGTAGTTCATATGAAATATTTCATGGTGAATAGCTTAGCTATGAGATTTTAATAGTAAGTAACCCTATCAAGGTATTATGAGAGAAATTTATAAAATGTGTTAGGAAAATTTCAAAAGATAAAAACCTCTCAGTAAATGATAAAATAAAGGAAAAAATATGCTCTGATTTTGCTCGATATCCTAGCAAATATGTAAAATGTATTGAAGAGTATAATTTATTCTTTTATAAATTGGTCTATTATATGCGTTATAAAGAGCATAAATTAATTCTAGAAGAAATCAGCCCAGTTTCATTCATGTAAAAAATGAAATAATTGCTAATCTACTTGTCTTATCTCATTGAAACATTAGACAACATTAATAATTTATGGTATTTCCATTTTGAGGATGTAATTGAAAGTACTTAGATGAGTTATATTATTAAGTATTCTTAGCTAAATTGTCACACTTCTGCTAAAATACTTGCAATATTATTTATGATCACATATTTTTCTTATGCAATAATACTGACTAACTTCAATTTCTATCTTCTAACTTCTGGTCTCTGATCATATAACCTAGCCTCAGAAATGTCCAGAGAGGATAAAAATAGTTTCAGTTAGGAGAATACTCAGTGTTACTTTTTTTTTATGAATTTCACTATTCCTTGACTATGAACCATATAATTGCAATAAGTATTAGGATAAGTATAGAATATATTAACATAGATGACATCAGGAGCTTATAATGATAGGAACAGTTACTGGTAAAGATACTGTTTTGTGTCATCTACAGAAATTATTTGGAATAAAGAATTAAGAGTAAAAGGTTGGTTAGAAAGCGTTATGTATAATGAATTATTCATAGGTGGAAATGGAGTATCTACTTTATTATGCGAAGCACCTTTTGATTCTTTCTTCGATAGTAATTCTTGAAGATGAGCATTTTTCTTCAGTAAATTAAATCACGCTAAAGATAAGGAGTCTAGCTCCTGTTTATATATGTTATTTGACATTTTTATACTTTTTTCTATACATTCTATTATATATTTTTTTGAATTAAGATCTTCCTTCACTTGCCTCAATTCAAGCCTAAGAAAATCGATCTCTTTAGGATTAAATGAGCTTATTTAGGCTGGCTCTTCTACTACCCCTCACATTACATCTAAACCATGATATATATGCTCTAGATCTATGTTCTCTAACTTACCTTCTAATTCATGTATTTTAATTTAAAGAGAGAGAATCTTGATCTTGTTAGTGAATGAAGCTTTCTAGACCAAAGTTCCCTTTCTCTTCAGTATTTTAATCTTTGATTTGAGCAATTAGATTTTGGCGAATATTTGACTTCAAGTTCACATTGACTCTCAGAATGAAACTTTCTTTTAGAAATAAGTTGGGATTTAACTTTAGTATTAGATGCATTTAACTGGCTAATCTTATTTCTAATATCAGTATAGGTTTGCTGAAACTCCTTTTCTCGTTCATTGTACTTATCTACTAGCTTTTTACTGAGATCATTAATCTTAGAGTTAAATTCAGTAATAGATCTTAATTTTTTTTAAACTCTTGCTTATATGCACTACTCAGCCAATAACCAGGTTTTTTATAAGAACCACTCTCTCTATTTTTTATATCATTTAAAGTATGCACATTAGACATAATATTAGTATGATTATATATTAGAAAAATAAATGCACGAATAAATTTCTGAGATAATAGACATAATTTGTTTATTTAGAATAATATATTCTTTCTAAATATCCTGTTTATCCTATATATCTTATCCCTTAAAGCGTAGGTATAAATTGATTATAAAATATTATAGAAAAATTATAATATTTTAATATCTAATGATTATAAAAAAATGAAATAAACTTTATTAGATTTGACATATTAAAATCTACCTAATAATAGTATTTTTAAATTTTTAAAATTAATAATTATTAATATAAATTAATTTTTCAATTTTTCAATTTTTTAA